GTCCCAATGAATTGATTGGTTTTAGTATTAGGTAGAAGTTTAATTCCTGTGTTTTGAGTCTTGCTCCCTGACTTCCAAGGATCATCAGAGGAGGTGCAGAAGTACAAGGACATGGGAGGCATTGATCACTGATTGTAGCTGGGGAGAAGGGGATGAAAATGTTAATTTATTACCAAAGTGGAGGTGAATTGTGTTTGAACCCAGAGCTTAAAAGTACTATAGCTTGTTTGTCTCCTGAGAAAACCACTATCCCCATTGCTGACCACAGAAGATGCAGTAATCTTGGGAAATACTGCATAATCTTGGAAGAATCTTGAGGCTGTCTTGAGACTCTCTTGAGACTGTCTTACAGGAGGATCCTCTTGCTGGAGGATGTAGTTTTATGCTTAGGTTCCTTCTAGAGTTTGTTGCAGGCTGCATCTGACCTGTGTGCCTACATTGCTTTTCTATGGAATCTACTATATAATCCCTGTCTCAGCCCCATGCAACATTGGCATGTGGCCATGTTGTACCTCTTGACCCCAGAACTGTAATATACTCTGGACTGGTAATACCCATGTGCAGAGTAGATCATTCAGGTCATTATGTACGCAGCAAATGCATTCGATAAATGTTTTGTCTGGAAAAGCATTGAACATCTATCCCATACATGTCAATCCACCACTGCCCAAACATAAATCTACAGTAAGGGATCTTTGCATTTGTGATTTTGCTTTCACAGTTTTGCTAGAAAGGAATACTTTCTGTATGGCATGTTGAAGAAACACAGATATTTTCACTTGAGAAAGTGAAATCCTACATGACAGAGGAAAAATATGTGGGAGTTTTGCCTGAATAAGTACTAAAAGGTTTGGCCCTTGGGATGAAAATAGACCTTGGAGTTTTACCAAGGTGCTTCAGAGCTCTTTATTCCCAATGCTTTTCTCTTTCAAATACGATGACTGGAGCTGTCTGGATGCAGAACTCATTTGAACTAAAAATAAGCATCTTTTGAAAACAGGATCTTCACTGCCTGGTCTCTCAGAAAGTCTGCTCAGGTATGAAACAGTGTATTGCTTTTGGTGCTGATTTTCTAAACTGGTGTTTAATCTATGTGAACTGTGAAATACTGACTTTACTGTACTTAAATGGAAAAACCAAGCATGTGAGCAAACTATGGTGTTACTAAAGATTGGACAAGCTCCTTTAAACTAGTTTGTTTACTAATCTACAATGTAGATCTTATTGCAGGCACTTAAAAATAAATACCAGCTTCTTCACACTGTTTAGAGACATTGAAGAAGAAATATAGAGAGCTCTTAATGCACATGAGAATCAGATACATTAAACGTCAATTGTGACTTCTTGTCAGGTTTTCCTTTGTAAGCCTACAAGTTCCTTGACAGCCTTGCAATTACAGAAAGAATAAAAAAACCCACAGAGCAGATATGATTCTGTGCCCAGGGGTTATTCTGTAGCCCTGAAAGGTTGAACTGATACCACTTTTGCAAAAGGAAGCAGTGGGTGAATGCCAGTATGCTTTCTCACAAGTGACATCTGACAGGAAGTACCTCACCTGGTGTCCTCACCATTCTAGAGAGGATATTGAAAATGAATACAATCTCACACTTCTAAATTGGTCAAAATTGATGTCATTACCGAAATAAAGGCATTACAAAATTGGATGAGCACTCAGAAGTCATAACTTCAAGGGTAAGACCATTATACAATGTAGATTCTGTAAGAGCAGACAGCGGACTTACTTGGACGTCAGAGCTTAGTCTTCCGGTTTCCAGTTTCTTGCTCTTACTGTATGAACTAGACTGGATGCTTGTCTGTTATTTAGGACTTTTTATCTGTAATGACCATAAAGGAAGTGAAAAGGTATAGTAAATTTTAAAATGGTGTGCAGTTAGAGCCAAAATTGTATGAACTACATCTTTGAGACTACATTACCAATTCGAACTTTCATGCTGGAATGGGAAGTTTTCCTTCAAGGTACAAATTACCCTCTCCAACTTGGAGTACATAGTTGGAAATTGCTGGAGAGTCTCTACTTCAGAATGAGGGGAAATGTGGTAATATGCATTGTATAGGATGGGGGTTTATCTTTTATAGAAGTATCTGTACTGATGTTTCTAAGGCTGACATGTTACACTCCAGAAGGAACATCCCTCAGTTGTCATCTTATAATTTTGATTAATTTGATGCTTACAGACACTGTTACAGACACTGTTATGCTCTCCACTCTTCAATTAAACAAATGAGCTCCTAAATGTAGCAAGCAGCCCCCATGCCTTTTTTTTCCTTCTCCATAAGAACACTTCTACTGAACATGAAAGCAAGATTTACACAAGAAAATCTTTGCCCTGAGAGTGATGTTGTTTTTTGATATCTCTGCCAAGACTCCAGGCTTCTCAAAAGCTTAGTTATAAGCATGAAGGATTCTCAGCTAAGAGTTCTATAGCATAGTAAGTGCTTGTAATCATTTATAAACTGGAATTAGAGTTGTAGAGTCATTTCTAATGTTATAATGCTTGTAATACTGGAAATAGTACTTTCATACAGTGTGTCATATGCTTAAGACATAACTAGCCAAAACACTAGCTGTCATGCCTAAATCTTCCCCCCCCACCCAGTGATGCCAAATCTGTAAAATCATGAACTGATAAAAGTAGTTGAAAATAATATAAAAATTAATGTCAAAACAAAAATGTTTAACATAAGTGAAGCTCTGATCCTCAGTCCTTCTGTGGTGATACGCAAATTTTTGGGTAAGGAATACAGCAGCTCTATACTTCGTGTTGAACTTTCCTTACAAGAAGAAAACACCTCTCATGCTGTCCCATTGCAGACACAGAGGGCATGCAACTTTTATCTTTCTTACAGAAACACATATGAAGGAGAACTGGAGAAGCCATCTCACTGACAACCATTGATGATTCATTTATACTCATATTTCTGTTTCTGCTCTCTTAAATAAAAATAAGTAAATAAATAAACTTAGCTCAAGAGAAGCCCACTTTCCATGCTATTTATGCCACAGACTGTATGCAAGTTATGTGAATGATGGAATATAGCAAACTGCAAAGTCATTTACATTACATTTACATTAAACAACATCCTAGGCTAAGTCTTCCCTGACCTACTCGAACAAATAATTCTCTTGTATACAGGGATCATGATTTGTCTCATTTTCGAGTGTCTGTTGATAGCAGTGGCTGGGCTAGAAGTATTTTGTTTTCCTTAGCTTACTTCTTGTGTTATCTGTGTATATATGTGTGTATGTGTACAATAATGCATGGAAAGAGAAGGCAAATGTACAACAAAGGCTAATATTTGAAAAGGTTGCTTTGGACTGTTAAATCCTACCCATATTGGGATATCATACACCTATGAGAAAGACAATTACCCTCATGAGTAATCAGTCAGAAAACAACAGTGGCTTACTTTTAATAGAAAGAAAAAAGTTAAATGGTTTGAATGACTGTATATATTGTCAACATAAAATGAGGATAAATGGAATAGATTGCTAATTTTTTATATAGAGGCATTGTAATTCTAACTAAGCATTCATGAAGAATGACCTTACTGTGATAGGACTTTCTTATGTAGATTATATATCAGTGGTTATCACTGTGTGGTCTGCTGTTCTACAATTTCTTCTTTTTTACCATATGAGGAAGACTTGAGGTTTGAAAAGATGTGTGATATTATTAGTTTTGTGGCTGTGAAAATATTTTCAGTCAAGGCAGCACAGGTAAAAGGGCTGCTGGGAAAGCATCAGGGAGGGATGTCTTTGCTCCACAGCTGCTGGCAGAAACTGATTATTGAAACGGAGTTGCTCCCTGGAAGTGTGTGCCAGCTTCTAGTAGCTGGAAAGAGTGTTAATTACTGTAGGATAGTCTGTGAAAAATGACATTTTGTCAGTAGATAAAGGAATTATAAAGGTACTGTATGCATTTCTATCACAATACTGATTTCTTACCCTCTTGGGAAACTAATAAGTGAAAGGCTTTGGACAGCCCCTGTTGTTCACAGGGGAGGTCATACAAGGCAGGTTTTGCAGGTTCAGTCCTTTATACTGTTTTTTTGGAAGAAGAGGGGTTGTAATGTGGGGAAACCTGCTGCAGACCCAAATTTTCTTTCAACTCTCTTTTGATTTGAGTTCCAAACCTTGAGGTTTTTTATATGAATTAGTGAAAACAATTAAAAAGATCTTGTATCTTCAGTAGAATTCCTTATTATGGTATTCTAATGTATTTTCTCCCTACTCGATGGAATCATCTCAGGTGTCCATCTCAGGTGGAATTTCAACTTCCATTTTTATTGTAGGAATATGATTAAAATCAATATGATGATTAATTTTATTATTTTGTTCTTTTATTTGGTACATCTGTATACAACCTCCAGATACACTTAACACAGATATAAACTAAGCAGCAAAGTTAACTAGCACAACATGTGAGCAAGTAAAAGCTAAAAGACTAAAAGCACCCCTCAAGTTCTCTGGTCTGCTCAATAATGCTCCGGAAATGATCTGGTTAAACAACTAATTATCCTCAAAGCATCTTCTGAAGCTGATTAAACTTGGTCTTTGCCAGGGAAAGGGACTTTGAATGGGGTATCCTGTGAGACATGAGGCAGCTGTATGAGGATGCCTCTGAGCTGTGGTGCCTGTACCCTGACAGCAGGCTATGGAGAAAGAGAGCATGACTCCTCCCCTAGTGCCTACCTGGTTTCTATTGGAAGAAAACCTGTAGGAAGCTCAAGAAAGAATCCATGGTGTCATCATCAGTGCCCTCATATGGACACTGAGGAACTGAGATCTTAGGACACAGCAAAGAAGATATTATGTTTGCCCCATAGTTCATGTGTAGCACCAGAGTCCTCTGGCTGATGAATTACTAGGCTGAAAATGCCTAATACTGGATTTGGACTGGGGAAGTAAATTTGGAAGCAAATGGAATTTGTGCAACAAGGGAGATGTGTGGCCTTAGAGGAAAAAACATACATGCAGCTTCCTGAGATTTGAGTTAAGCATGGAGTAACAGCACTTGAGGAATTGTAGCAAAATCCACATCTCCAAGAGGGGCTTTTAACTCCTTAGCCAACTGAACAGTCAGAAACAGCCCTGGCTGCTGCTGCTAGCAATCACATCCTGAAGCAATGTGGTATTCAAGTAGGAGACTTTATAGTGGGGGTCACATTCTTGGGGAAATGCAAAATGGCTCCCTCATGTCTTCTGCACTCAGGAGCTGATGAGTCATCCTTGCTGCAGAGAGTTATGCACCAAGCAGAGACAGGATTTTTCAGTGCATTTAGTATGGACTTGATAACTTTCTTATTGTTGTCATGCAGAACAGAAGCGTCATCATTTAAGTCTATGGTGCCTAAACTGAATGGCCTTTAGTGTTAGTCTTTAAATCTTTTAATGTAGTGATTAAACATGACAGGGATTAAGTCCCTGTCCAATAGCAGCCTACTTGGGTGCGTTGTTGGTTGGATGCAAAGCACAAAGCCAAATGCTCTTAAGCAGCCAAGCATGTTGCTGTTTCAAAGCATAGCAAGCCCCATCATGTCTGGTGATTAGGAAACATTTCTTTTTTAGTGATGATAGTGCTGAGCAAAAAGCTGATAAAAAGAAAGTTTTCTAGATCAACAAAATATATTGCGGACAAGGGTTAGAACAAAAATTGAGAGGTTTTATCCTAGGTTTTAAATATATGTATGGCATGATTTAGATATACTTACAAGCATCTAGTCTAATGGAAAAAGAACTTGCAAATTCATAATTTCCTCAAGTATCCAGGCATGAGACTAAATTATGCATACAAGGTAAATCAAATAGAGTTTGACACAAAACCCATTAACTAATAAAAACATTCTTCTAGTTGCCAAGTTGCCTAAAAATCTCTGAGGAAATGTCAGAAGGAAGGTACCTGTGTGAGCCATGGAGCCTTTAATTATATCAGCACACAGCATATTTATTCTTGCAGAGTTCTTGAAAGAATTGGTATGTTTTTTTCTCCTCCTCATTTTGTGGGTCTTAAGGTTAACATACAATTCATGCATGATTTAAACCCTGTTCTGGAGGCAATGTCCTTTGCTGGCTCACTGGCCTTTTCCTACGATGCTAATTACTATAGCAACTGCGTGCTTCACATGGCTTTATTTTCATAACATCTGAAAGAGATGAATAGGTAACATTACTGTGCTTTACAGATTACAATAGAAAATTTGAGGTGAAGAAATGAAGTAAATTTGTTCATTTATTGAGGAAAAATTCCATTGCAAAAAAATTAAATTCTTCATTGATGGGTTTGCCTTTCAGCTGGAAACCCCTCTGGGAAGTGTGATTGTGTGACTGGAACTGTGATGTTTTTGCTTTTTCCTCCAGAAAAATAAAATAAAAAAGTTTTTCTTCCATGTGCTTGACTTTAAGAAAACCACATTTGGGGGTTTTGTACTGCTCCAAATATTTCATTTGAAATCTTTTATTTTAAAAAAGAAGTAAACACAATCAGCTGAGCAGAGTCCTTGGCGGGTTGTATCTCCTAATGCATATTCTCTGTGCAGGGGTTAGATGATGCTATGTGCCATGAGAGATGAAATCAACATCTGGAACCTGGGTTTCTAAAAACCAAAGACGTCACATGGATTTATCATACTATTGGTATCTGCAGACATGCTGACAGCCAGGACAAAAATGTGTTTCCCTGCAGCACTGGTGCCAGGTATGCTATGAAGAAGGTGGTAGAGAGCTGACCTGTGTGGGGTGGCTGAGGCTTTTGGGAGAGCTGGGATGCTTAATCAGAAACTTTCATAGATATCTGTGGGCAGAAAAGACAAAAAAAAGGAGAGCTTCAATACTTCTCAGCACAGAAGCTTTTGCTTTAATCATTCTACTTTTTCTTTGCACGCTGCTTTGCACCTCTCACTCACCTGGTGTTATGTCCTTGTCTTTCTCCACATTCCTGGTTTTCCCCAGGCCTCTGTGCTTGTACCATTTTTTATTTATACATTGCTCTTCCTACTGCCTTGCTGAACACTAGTCCTTGCTTTGCTCTTTCATGCTTTCACTACTCAGCCAGTCCCAGTTTTCCTTTTCTACTCCCCCTGCATCTTGCTTTCCTCATGGTCTTGCCAGCCTCCAAAACTGTGCATTCCCCATTTTGCCCTCCGGATCATCTTTGCCTTTTCCCTCTCCAGCTGCTGGTTCTTACCTGCTCCCTGCCTCCCCCACACCCTGTAGACTATGCTGATCCTCATCCACTCCATGTATCAATCAGGTGTCTTCTTACATGGTGCTTGGATGGCATGTTTCTCTTCAGTTTTGGCTACTGCTCAGCCTGAAGCATCCCAGCCCTGTGGGCTAAAAGGAGCAAATCTGGCATGTGACAGCACTGTCAGTCACTTGGAGGAGAACTTTCTGAGGCTGGAGGGGCTGTGGACATCGGTAAGGCTGCTAATGGATGAGCAAGATGTGTAAAACAGGATTATTGAGCAGGGTGTGGGGGGCTGAGGGGAGATCAGGGGAGAGAAAGGGGCGGGGGGGCTGAGATGGGAGATCACCACATTCCTTCAAGTTGGCCTTTTAGACAGCTTGCTGCTGGCTTCTCTCCAGGGTTTGCTTTTCCTGTCCCCTCTGAAGGAGCAGGAGTTAATGCAGGGAGTGGCAGCTGGACATGGCCAAGGTCCCTGGCATGTCTGCATGACCCAGCCACCAGCACCTGCCTCCTTCCTTCTCCCTGACACGGCACCCTCCACACACAGGGCTGTCTCCTCTCTTGGGCAGAAAGGCAGAGTGAGGTGGGTGCCATTTTGACCCTGCTCTCTTCTTTTTGATGCATGTGATGTGATTTGGCTAGGATTTTGTGGGGAGGAGGAAAGGATGCTCTGGCTCTTCACAAAAGCCCTTTGCACGTCTGGAGGGAAGCCACCCTCCGACTGGGAGAGATTTTTCTACAAGGGAAATTATTTGAAGCAATGTATGTGAACAGGGGTGGTCAGAGCTGTCTTTCAGCTGCCTAGCCCTAATTTTGAGGTTGTCTGAGGAGGGCAAAGGAACAGGGAACTGGTTCATAAACAGAGGACAAAGAGCACTGAAACTGAAGAGGCTGTGCCATAACGAGGAAAGGCACCATCTACATGGCAAAGAAACCGTAGTCTGTACTTACTGCTGGACTTACCTCTGAAAACTGTTCATCTGTATGAGTAGCACAACTGAGTTAAGTTTAAGGAAACAAAGACTTTGCCCAAAGGTATTCTCCATCCCAGCAAATGAACTGAAAATGTAAAACATATGGGGCAATCTGATTTTTAACAATAGTTAAAAAGAAAAAAAAATAAAACAACCACCAAAGCTTTTACTGTGTATTTTAAAGAGTTTCAAGGGCAGCAAAAATCACTGGCATGACTTAGCTGTATCCGGAGAGCTGATGCAATCCATATCAGCAGGGAATTGCTTAACACATCTGGGCAGAGTTCCTGCTGGTGGCGTCTACTGGACGTCTCTGCAGTGTTAATAGTGTAATAGGCAATATGCGGGTGGTTTGGGGGCCCCTGCTTTACATTTCTCTCTTTAAGCCTGTTATTTCTGTTTCCTTCTGTTTCCCTTATTTGCTGATGGTCACCAGCTGGGTCCTGACTTTGGGTTTGGGCTGTGCCACCACATGGGCATTCACGTTTGAGTCCATGGTGCCTCAGACCCCCAGAAAATAGAGGTAGAAGTGGTAGAGACCTTTCTGGTTGCTTCAGTTGGTGTAAGTTGGTGTTTTTTGCCTTTTTTTTTTTTAAAGTTTCATTTGGGATGAGAGGTTCCCAAAAGAGGATTTAAGTCCCTATGTGCTGAGTTTCCCAGGCAAAATAATCACGAGCATTGAAAATTTTTCCTCTCTCATACCTTCTGTGGAGAGAAGCAGCAGGTGAAGACAGCAGGTGCCTTGGACACAGCTGCAATGATGATCATTTCAGTAAGCAAAGGTCCCAGAAAGCCTATAAGCTTATAAAATCCCTTTTTAGCTGAAATAAATCGCTGCAGCTTCCCTCTCACAGCTGACCAGAGATTTACTCAGTTTACACGCAGTTTAAGATACACCCAAAGCACTTACAGCCTCTTCTGAACTCCTCCACACTCCTGCTAAGTGTCCATGCAATCCAAAAAGTGTTTGTATCTTTATCCTTTCAAATATCACTGTTGCTGAGGGGAAATCCCCGCTGCTTCATCTTTGCTGCTCTCCCCCTTGCTAGTGGGTATTAGGCTTGACCGCAGCTGACTTTGCTGTCTCACTCCCGGCAACTGGGTGCCAAGCACTATACAGTGACGCAGCAGCTTTTCCTCCCTTCCCTCCATTTCCCCTGGCTGCTGCTGCTGCTTCCTCAAAGTCCCAGGGCTACAGTTTCTGGCCAGTGCAGGGAGGTGATAAGGCTTTGAACTTTTGCTGTGGGCTGGCTTTCTGCAGCAGGTCTGAAGGATGCAACGAGGTAAAGGAGCAGGCAAGGGGCTGAGGAGCCAGATGGGTGATGCCAGACTCAGCTTATTTCCCTCCATTTTTTTAGCCAGCAGTACATCCTTCCAGGTCTGGCACCCCAGCTGGCCTGGCTGCAGGCACTGGGAAGCTTGAGCCTTCCTCTTGATTTTTATTTGTATTTATTTAAACATTTTAAGCAGTTTTGTAGGAATGGAGCTGTAAGATTTTCTCTAAAGAGTGTGGACTTTCTTTTTCAGAGCTGAATTCTTTGTTGTCAAAATATGTACATAACCTGGAGATTCCAGAAGCCTTTTCTAAGACCTGTGAATGGGCTATACGTGATTCTCTTACAAACTGTCACTTTACTGCACTTCTCTTTCTTCCACTGGAACTTAATGGACCTTACCAAGACTCAGGGGTGAACCAATTCAGTGTTTACCAATATTCTGCACTGGTAAAAAAATACAAACCCACCCTTTTTTTTGTGGAAGGAAATCATTATGGAAAAGATGTAAGGATATATATCCATGCGTGCATGTGTGCACACATGCTGGTTTTGACTCAGAAATGGAAGTGATGTCAAGTGACACTGACAAAACGCAAGCATATGTTTTACTTCCATCAGGCTTTTTCATGAACCTAAAGCACTGTCACAGGACTCTACTGATTGCTGATTTAAAAAAATGCAATGGAGTTATGATCCCATTGAAATTCCTCTGAATTTTGATGGATACAAACTATTAAAACAGTGAATAAAACCTAAACCACCTTGCTTTTCTCTTTCCTATTTGAAATCTGGTGGTTTATTATTAATATCTCAATTCTTTGTGCCAGTCTGAGGTGCTGACACTAAACTTCAATATTTTTGCAGACTCTTGTGGAAAACAAAATAAAAAAATCCCGTGTTAGTTTGGACAACTCGCATTCCACTCTAATTGGTGCCTTATAATTTTCCCTCTTCGCATTTTCCCTCTGGTTTTCAAAAGTACTTTTTAGTTTCTCCAAATCACTTTGTAAATTTACATTCTGGCTCAGCTAGTCTGTTTTTCTGTTTTAGAAAAGTCAAGTTGGCTTGGCAAAGCAAATTAATTTCCTTCAGATGAGAGGAGTTTCACTGAAGTCTCACTTCGCAAAGATACACAGTCCCCTAACTGCTAAGCTGCATTTACTGACACAGATGCAAAGTTGTCCAGCTGGAGGAGTTGCTACTTGTAAAGGCATGGGTATTGGAGAAAGTTTTTCCCCACCCTGTGTTACCTGTATATCCAAGGCCAACTCCAAGTCTCTGGGTGGGGTGCCTGCAGGGCACACCAAAGGATGAGCAGTGATGGAAGGGATCATACCTCTGTTTTTTCTTTCATGTTTCACATGTATGCTCACACTCTGCCACAATTGTTTTGGTCTTCCCTTGATTAAGTTTGTAACCCAAGCTGCCTGTCTCAGCTGAACTTCAAAAGACCCAGGAAAGTAATTCATCTGGTTACAGGGAGCAGGTTACAGAACCAAGTGATATGAGAGCACCTTTGCAATTCCAGCTGATGCCATAGCAGAGGCTGAAGATATGAGACTCATCTTGTTCCATTTTTTTGTTTTATATTTACAGTCTATCCCACTGGTGTCACCAGAGAAGCTTGAGCTGGAAATGATCACATAAACAAGCATGTCCCTTTTGTTTCATTGGCTTTCATAATCTGTTCAAAAAGACTTTTGACTTTATAGGTTTTTGCACTGAAATCCTTGTACCCATCTCTGATTATCTTGAGAAGTCTTATGCAGACGCAGAACCAGACTACGAAAGGTCTGTGAGTATCTCAGCTGCTTAATATTCCCCGCAGAGTGCTGGACAGCAAAATATCTCTGTATGTATTTAAATGTTAACCATTCTAAGCACTGCTTTACAGCTTATATTGCTTATTGCAAAACTTCATCAACTTTGTGATAATTGTCTGTGTACCAGAACAGATCGGATTGGTGGTGTTCTCAGTCATATTTGTTTCTGTCAGTATGTGTTGAGGGACTGAAGGAAAGAGGTGTGTGAAATTCTTCCCAGGCTGTACTTGGCTGTTTTCCTTTGCTGCCGTGCTTGGCTCTCCCCTTTGGCTGTCCTCAGAGGAAGAAGCTGTGTGCAGAAATTAGGAAAATCTCAGAGAGAGTACACGACCCTCAAAACAGTAGCTTGGCCTTTATAGAAGAAAGAACTTGTAGCAAGTAATGATTTATGTATCTTTAAGAGAAAGGAAAACTAGTTGCAAATGAATTTCATGTGTAATGGAATTTCAACTTACTAAGCAAAAAGAAACACACATAATGATTCTATGATTCTATAATGCATTGATAGAGGCATCAGGTGAATCTTTTCACCTGGCCTTTTGGAAAATGCTGCTTGAGAAAACATTGGTAGTGTAAAAACTTATGTCATACTTAACTCTGCAGAGTGACTGTTTAACTTCACTAGCTGGGGAGGATGCCGTGTTAGATCAGGTGAGGGAAGTGGAGGTAAAATAACACAAAAATAAGAGTTGTGGGGCAGAACTAATGGTAGAAACTGCCATCTGTGCATACAAAGAAATATCTGTTACATTTTAAATTCAAGTCATAGCAGTCTTAGAACCTTTGCTGCTTTGGAAGAGAGAGAACATCCCTTCCATGCTGAAACAAGAAGGTGGAACATTTTCGAAATACTGAAAATGTGTGTGTGTTTTATACCATCTCTTTTCAGTTACAAACCTTTGTTCCTAGGTTAGGTGTTTGGCACCCCTTGAGTCCCTCAGTAGAGAGCAGAGAGAGAGAAACGCTCCTGTTTGGCATCTCCAAAAGTGGTAAATCACCCCTGCTTGTTTGTAAAATCCCTGAGAGCACCACAGTGGGCCTTACTAAAACTTTAACAGTGTAAGCTGAAAGAAGTAGGATATTGTGTATATGCCAAAACTGGTCATATTTTTTTTATTTCATATCTTCAAAAAAAAAAAAAAAAATAAAGAAAAGCCAAAAAGGTTTCACTTTTGGTCAAGCCACTAAGAAAAAAATAAATGAGTGTATCAGTTCCTACTTTGTGTTTCAATAACAGCAACAACACAGGAAAGTTGTCAATAAAAGCAATAAATCGAGTGAGTAGGAGTTACCATGTGTGATTATACAGGAGTGAAAATGAGACTGATTAGGGGAATACAGGGTATCTTTGTTCCTCGGTAGGAGCAAAGACGCCATCTCCACTTTTCACTCAAGATAGTTGGTATGTCCTGCTGCCCTCAGTGCTTCTGGGGTTACTCATGACTCTTCTGCTTTGCACAGGCAGTGAAATTTTCTCTCAGAGGCTTGTGTCAGTTTAATAGTCTTTCCGGAAAAGCACTGTACTCAGAGCTTCTTTCTGTTTCCCCCTGCTAGTTTCCAAGTGGGAAAATCGCTCTCTGAAAGTTTGGCTGTTTAGGAGCTGAGCTGAGCTGTAGGGATGATTTTCACTTTTGCACTCTTGCAGACTCAGTTTCTTCTTGTCTCCCTGTGGCCGCATGTAGCTTCTCACAGCTTCTTCCAATTTGCTGGTGCAATAGAACAGAGCCTGCTGCTCAATAACTAGCCTCTCCTGCATCTGCCTCAGCATCCTCTCTGGGACAGTGGAAAGTGTCAGGTCCGGCAGTGAAAGATCTGAGAAATGCTGGAGCAAGGTAGTTAAAAGGAATCTCCTCTGAAGGGGAAAAGTTTGCTCTTGCCCACCCTCAAAGACTGCTTTATGTACTGCAGCCTCCACTGGAAGAGAAGCTCCATTAAAATCAAATCACAGCTTTATTTTTAGCACTTGACGTATTCTCTTTTCTCCATGCACATTTCCATTCCCTTTTAATTCATGAAGCTCCTGGCCTCGGTTGCCTCCGGTGGGAAGGAAAAGGACTAGGCAGTTGTATGCTGTGGGAAAGGATTGCCTTTCACCTTTTTGCCTTTCATTTTCAACAGATGCCCTCCTGCTCATGTATGATGAGAAATGATGAACAGGATTCACTTTCTTTGGTGCCGTTCAGTATTTTGAACACCTTTATATTTTCCCTTCTCTGAAGTGAACAGGTTTGATTTTACTATTCATCTAGAAGGTTTTCATGCCTCTAATTATTTTCATTGTCATTTCTGAACTTGTTTCATTTCTATTTTGTCCTTATCAAGGTATCCAGAACTGATCACAATGCACTGTTTGGGTAATAAAAAGTATTTTCAGTATTGCTTCTCTGTTCCATTCTTTTTCTTTCCTAACTATTCCTTTTTTTAGCACTGAAAGACATCTCTGACAAAATGCCTACAGTGACACCCAAGTGTTTTTCTGACTCTTGGCAGTTAAATTTAGAAGCCTGAAAATGCAGTTCCTATTCTTCCTCTCAGAAGGCACCATCTTCTGTTTGAAAATGCTGCATTCGTCCGTGATAGCATTTTGCTTTGCTGATATCTCATCCAAGCTCCTCTCTTGGTTTACTTGAAGATTTTGTCTTCCACCTTTTTTATTCTTCTGTTTCTCTATTGATTTTCAAACTTTCTTAGCAAAAAATCTGAAATCATTTGACTGTCCACGACTGTTTTGTGTCTGCATTTTATTCCTCTTCATTCCAAGAGCCTGAGTTTATCTGCACTTGTAGAAAATAACTTATCTTGTACTTTTTAGAATTACCAATTTTTAAAATACTTTAAATCCAGGTCAGATCAACACATTACCATGATTTATTAGTGGGTCTGAAAATCTTTGGCTTAACTAATCTGTTCTTATAGCAAAAGCACTTCATCAACTAGGATAAATCACTAAGGTTCACTCAGAAGCACTGCTGCTGCTGAGCTCATCAGTCATACAGGCTGCAGAAGGCCACGGTGCGGCAAATAATAATAATAATAGATTGATAATTTGTGGGCTCTTCTTTTTCATTAGACATACTGACCTACAAACAAGGAGAACAGTGTAGCTGTGTATTTCATGATTACATCAGCTACCAAAAGCTCAAATTGGCTGATCAGAAATGTTTACAAACTTTTTGTTGTTTTTTTCAATAAAAATGTTTATCCAGGAATTGCTGAATTTTCGTGGTTGACATGATTCTCATGTCAATCTCATGAGTGACAAACAGCAACAAATTAAAAATGTAATTATGTATTTTTAAAACATTTGGAAAAAAAACCCACAAACTCCTGTTTCTCCTATTAGAATTTGCAGTTTCTGACTTGGGGACTCTGTTTCCAGAGCAACAGCTGATAATATAACAAACACTGAAGGAAGCAAAAGAGAGAATCCCCTCTTCTATTTTAGGTTAGAGTTATGTCCCTCCGTTATTGCTAAGGAAATGAGTATGTTGCACTGAAGCAAGTATACCATGCATCTCTGCATGAAGAGCCTTTGCAGCGTGTTTGTTACCTGGTGTCTGCCAAGAGATGGAGCTGCAGAGTCAGACACCTACCAAGCCTGACCCCGTCTGTCAGGAGTGATATAATAAAACCCTTGGCAGCAAAAGCCTGTAGCCTTTCATACTGATGCATGCTACTTTTCTGTCCAGTGACGACAGACTTGTTTTGGGAACTTATCCAACTCTGTCCAATCTATTCCAATTTATTTCGTTAAGCTGTGGTTCGGAAAAGCCAAGAAACAAATTATATTGGTGAATCCTGGCCTCTGATCAGATAATGTTATAGAAAATGCTCATCAGTCCCACAGTTGATCACTAAAAGGATGAACATGGCTGCCCTCTTGGACTTGCCTTCAGATCTCTGTTCCTTACATAAACCCCTGTAAAATGCTGCTAGTGGTGCCTTGCTTTCACTCAGCAGGTAATTTTCTGGGCCTACCTTCACAATTTGGGTGTTGCTAAAAACCTTGTCTCGGTTTCTAGCCACCTGCAGTGTGAGACCGAAGACAGCAAAGAGATTCCCAAGCTGACGGAGACCTGAGTTTGTCAGTCTGCAAACTGTCCTGCCCACATGGATTTATGGGCTTAGCTCTGGAAGCTGTAAACCTGTGTTAGTACAGTGCGTAGCCAAGTATTTTTGGAGCAGACCTCAGGTTCAACTCTGGGTTAATGCAGTGATCTGGCATCTCCAAGCCAGCTCCCATCCACACCATGCTCTTGTCCTTCCCGGTCCCAGCATCGTGGTGGGTGGGATAGATCTAGGTTTGTATGTACCTGCCTGTAAAATCCCAGGATTGCCTGGAGTTATTTTGGGATTAGGTACAGGCATGGAGAGGCTGCTGAGCTAATTGGGCTCCCACTCCTATCGAAGCCCTGGGGGGATTCTCAGAATAGATGTTCCTGCAAACCAAGTTACTCGAGTCTCTAGATCTTCACACAGTACATCTGCCACATCAGTTCTGGTGCAAGTGAAGAGCTGGGAAAGGGCAAGAACGGACTTACTCAAGGACCCTCTCATACCCATGAGCAGTCAGGGCATCCTCTGGTTTAAAATTTGTGTTCTGCTTAATTTGCTTAATTCAAAGTCCTTGTGCATATTGATTCTTTTGCTGAGAACCAACAGCTTATCACTGGATAAATTCTCTCCTAGTTGCACTCCAAGGTGGGGAAGGAAGGGAGACAGGGAGATGTACGAAGGGAGGTGAGTCTGCCTCTGTCTTTGACTTGCACTGCGAACCTTGGGTCTGAGCAAACCAGTTTTGCAACTTGCTTCCAATAAAGGTTCCATTCTTTGTGTTAAGTGGTATGTCAATAAGAGAGAGATTCAAAACTAAATAGAAGAAAGTCCAGTTGTCTGTTTGCTAAATAAGATTGAGAAAAATAATTTTCCCCAATTTTTTTTCATGGGAAAAGGCTGACCTGGTTTATATGCATCACTCCAGCAGAAATATCTTGGCTAGGGATACTGACCAGAGTGAGGGATTCAAATATTTTTGGGGATAAGGATCAGGCCCTGGCTGACAGCATGAAAATTTAACATTGCAATCCCAAGGTCTCTTTGAGTTTTAGACTACACAGTGCTTGGTGAAATGTGTTTTAACCTGAGTTCCCAGTGAAAAGCCTGTTTGTCAATCAGTCTGTCATTTGCTGGTTAGG